CTCTCCCCGCTGCGTCGCGCGTGCCCCCGCGGAACGGTGAACGCCGGATGACAAGGAGCTCGCGGTCACACCCGTGACGAATGGGACGCTCCCAGCGGAGGAGCGGAATGACCGTCGAGAGAACATAGAATTTACTATCTAGCGGCCGATCTAACATTTAGAGAACCGTCAAACGGCCATTTTTCTATCGTTTCTATCGTTTCAATATTATTATTTTTTTTATTTTTCTTTCAAAGGTAGAGTTTAAAAATTTTCTGATTTTTATCGGATGACAAGTATAATTCTAATATACAAAGATATTTTGGTATATTTAGGATGGTAATATGTAACATATTTAAAAAGTAATCGCATCAAATGCTTATTATTGATAAATGTTGTGCTGAAATTGAGTTTAAGTATATATTTATTTATTTTACACAAAAAAATAAAAAGAGTTTTGTTGAAAAATCTAAAAACTTGGCCAAATGCAGGACGCTAAATGATGATCATACTGCAAGGATTTTTGATATTTTAGCAATAAATTTGAACGTTCTACATAATTAATATTTTGATGCGCCAATAAATTATTTTCAAGTGTATTTAGCTAAATTTTTAGCTACTTTAGCTATTTTTTCCATGTAAATATATTGAAAATTCTTCGTGCGTACCAAACTGTATTTGTCGCCCTATAATATTTGATTAGAATGAAGAGAGTTATATAGATGAAAAGTTACAAAATTCGGAATTCGGAAATTGTATTTTTAATAAAAAGCTACTAATATATTAAGATAATAAATGACTAGGAATCACCGCTGGATATTTCTAAAGTTAAACGCTAACTGCTCGTGTCCGAAATTACCTTTCTCGTTGGGGGAAAAGAGACCGTTTTAGGAGATTGTTGTTTGGTCGGGTCGAGGGAGAAAATAAGTCTGAATCTACGATCGAAATAAATTGCGATTTAACGGATGAGGAATCTTGAACGTGGACGTCGAGAGGCATGCACCTCGGGCGCACGAACGCGATGGATGCAATCGCGAAAGAGAGAGGAACCGACCGACCGACCGACCGACCGATCGTTCGTTCGTTCGTTCGTTCGTTCGTTCGCTCGCTCGCTCGTTCGTTCGCTTGCTCGCTCGCTCGCTCGTCCGTCCGTTCGTTCGTTCGTTCGTTCGCTCGCTCGCTTGCTCGCTCGCGGTTGTGCATTATTGGCATTATCGTACATTACGCTCGAGGAATTTACTTGGCGCGCATGTCGGAGTTGCCGCTCGCGGAACTGTTGCTGCGAGGCTCGCGACTTATGAATATGCAGCATCACGTGCACGCGTCACGTACGCGACGCACGTGTACGCGTACTCGTTAAATATATAACCGAACGGGGATATAAAGAATCGGAGGGATATTAAACGGCGGAGTAACACCCGCGAATGAGATACGAGCTCCTCTTGCTCGACGCAAGCGCGCGATCGCTCGCTTGCCGATTGACTCGTCGCGGAAATCACATCGCGTCAAATCGATCACTTCTTATTAAAGAATTTATGAGAGAATTGTCGTCCATAGGAACGACAAGGACGAGAAGGATGGCGAGAAGTCGACGACCAACGGCGTGAAAACATCGGAGGACGACAGCGAGTGGAAAGTTGCCACGGGTAGGTATTACACGCTCCTTTTATTTTTGCACTTTGCATCAGGTCCGATTTGTCTCGTACAGGTAAAAGGCGCAAGAAACGCAGGGAGCAGGCGGCAACCGTCGACAAGAAAGCTTTCGAGGAAAATGACGCTTGGAATTAACTACGGTGTTCCGGAGAACATCGCGTTTCAACTGCACGGAATGATGCAGTGAATACATATGCATAAGTACAGAACAATCCGAAATGTGCTGAATCAGAAAAAAAAGGAAAGAAAAGTATTTCGGTTTCATTGACTTTCATTTTAAACATTAGACGAATATCGATAATGTTTAATCTTTATAAATAATTATAATATATATATATATATATATATACATATATATATATATATATATATACAAAAGATATGTAATAAACTGTTTATTTCTGATAATATTCAAGCGTATTTTTATTTATATTAATTTATTACAGCATCTTTAGGTTATATTATCTTCCTAAGATTTATTTTTCTGTCGTTCTAAAAACCTGTGCTACACATAAAGTCCACACTTGTAATTTTTTAGATTTCAATACTAAATTACGGTACGGCATCCTCTTTGTCGCATTTCATTTATGTTTTATTATCACAGTTCACAATAAATAATAAAAAAACTCAATAATCTTAAAAGTTTTGTTTGCCAAATATTTTTAAAAAGACATATATGTATTGATATTTTCTTTAATTGAGCATAATACGTCGCAAACCTTTTGTGAATATACAAAACAAAATCTCAGTTTCGAAGATCTTTTCTCTGATGGTAACTCTGTTATATGTCAACTGCGACGGTTATAATAATCCACAGTGTTGATAGTTTTTCAATTATTCTGTTTCAGTCGGATCGTTTGGGTTAGTCAATATTTAACAGTAGTTTCAGTTGGAAAATCTCAGAGGATGGAAAAGGTGACACTATTACGAAAGCAGAGTATTATAAGAAGCAACGAATTGTCTTTTGTATGTAGAATTTCACTTTTGTACAATTTTTAAAATTCGCTTATGTTAAATATAATATGAATATATTGAAGATGACTTTTAAGATGATTAAAATATTTTAAATTAAATTAATTCTCCGTAAATTAATCAGATACAAGATCGCCGATATTTGAGCGTATTTAATAAATAATTTGGAACACAGACGTAGATTATTGTCGATTTTGGTTAATATGATTATATTTTATTTTAATACAAATTGCACCGACATGTCAACTTATATACATTTGTTTCTATAGTATATATACATCGGATAATTTTACACGCAATATAAAAATATATAATTTGTACTTGAATCTTCTGATTTATTCCTATTTAAATTTAACCGAATTTAAACGAATTAAATAAAACGTTAAAGTTATTAACCACATAAGCTCGCAATACGTGCATTATAGGAATCTCAGAGATGAATAGGTTTCTGTTGGATTTCGGAGAGGAGAATCAAGACACTGCCAATGACACGCCTTTGCGCGGGGATTATCCGAGGTTCCGCAGAAACGAGTTGCTAGATACTAAATTAGTGAGTTCAATATATTGTCCTCATGTGATCCTTTCTCCTTGCTGATGCGATGTGTTGGACTCCTTTGGGATTTCCAAGGGCATTGCGTTCATTCCGTGTCGAGGCACATGCCGCATAGAAACCCCAAAGCTGCCTCAACAAAGCCATTTCGTAAAAGCCTGCGCCTTATTTAATTATTAATTTTTAAATCCGATCTAAACATACTTAATCTCTTTTTACATCATACAAGAAGAATTATTGAATAATTAACAATAAATAATGGGGGAATATTACTGTGTAATTAATAGTAAAATTTACAACAGATTTGTAAAACCAACGCATAATTAATTAGCCGATTCTTCTCTGTTGATAGAGTGATAAATAATAATCAAATTTATCGCGATTAATCACTGCATCTTTGTCACTTTTAGGAAGATTAAAACACACATTTATTTAATCATAATTTTGTCAATTTTAATAGTGGTTTCGATTTTAATAATAATTTTTTTTCTCTTTTTAACAAATTTTTCGCCAACTTTTTGCCAACTTTTCGATGAAACTAAGACGTAAAAGAGGCAGTAGATTCGAGCTAATAAAGGCAATTAGGAAACGCGGGGATTGACGGATAATAATTGCTATGTGAATTATTAATTACGATCAGATTTATTGTAATTAATCAGTATTTTGTCTCTGACTCTCGCGAACATCGTAGATGATCGTTTACGTATTACACACGTACACATGTACATGCGCTAAGAGACAACGATCGAACGTAAAATAATTTAAATGTTGAAAAATTGTAAAATTAATTTACATCTTACGCAAATTCCTTATATTTTATATTTTATTTACACATTGTCAAACTTTATTTTGTATCCCATGTGTTGATCTCAAGGTCCTAACTTTTGTAAGCATAAGCTTCTAAAACTATCAGAATCTCGAAAATCAATAGCAAAATACTTTAACAAATGCTCCAATAATTATTCAAAATAATTTTCATTAAATATTATTTAATCCAATAACTATTTAAAATCTCTTGATTGAATATTATCCATTCGGACAAATGAATACGTAAAATGATTGTTATTGCTTTTTTTTTTTTTTTTCATTATGTATTATTGTAGCGAAAAGTGTATAGGGCAATGAAAAATTGCAATTATCAGCACAAACAATCGTTTATATTGCAATGACATTAAACACGCCATGTTACTTACGTGAAACAGCGTAGGACGAATGACAAACAAACTGTACAATTGTCCACAAATATCCATAAAATTAAGCTTTTTACTTATTCTTTACACTTAAATCATGCCACAATGTTATTGCCAATCAATATCTTACGGAGACAAATATATTTATTACGTAATAATTAAAAAGTTTACCGTTATGTCTCGGAGACGGACGCTTTAGATTTCGGACAAATAGTCGCGGAATAGTTTCTTCTCCGCGAAAAACACCATTGTGCTTACGGCGGAGATAACTTGGGACTTAGCAGGCCAGTAGGATTCAAATGCAGCCACCACAGGACCACTAAGGCCCAAATCATCCCCGATATTTTCCATTCTTACGTCCGTCACGTCGAGCATCCTGGTATCTGAAAAAAATATCCCAAAAACAATTATTCATTCGTAATTCGCTTCTTCAAAAATTATGTCGTACGCGTCATTTTTCGTAGTGTGAGTTTTGCTTAAACCAAAAGCGCGATATCATTGAATGGTATTAAATCAGTTTTAGAGTGTTCTATAATTTGTATATCAAAAAATTCAGGATCCTACTTATAATTTTATACATCGGGAAGGGATGTTTGAAAAAAACGATTTTTAAAAATAAACACACACAAATACATTTAAAATATATACGGCCAAATTCTAGAAATGAAAATCTAACGTCCTAAAATTTTACGCAACTCGTAAGTCATTTAAATATAGGCCTTAGTGTCGGTCCACAATAGGTGATTAAGCTTTAAGAAGTAAGAAATTGACCAATTATAATCGAATATGAAAAAAATACTCGACTACAATTGGTCAATTTCTTACGGCTTAAAGATTAAATATTTATTGTGGACCGACACTAAGAAATAAATTGCGCAACTTTTTAAGCGATTGTAATTTATTACGTACGCGATAAATTCCGCGAAAGTGTTACGGAGCGAAGATTTCTTCCTTA